AATCAAGCTAGAGAGAGCTGCTGAACGATGCATAAGCGTGTTGCTCGAGCTGATCAAAATTAAAGTGAACTATGTGGTTCAAGAGGCTATCATAGTCATCAAGGATATTTTTAGAAGATATCCAAACACGTAAGAAATCCTTTTTGTTCCTTCAATTTGATATTCAACTGATTGAATGATTGCTTCATCATTCTGACTTCATGTGAATCCCTGTTCTGTTTACAGTTACGAGTCCATCATTGCTACACTCTGTGAAAGCTTAGACACGTTGGATGAGCCAGAAGCCAAGGTAATAGTTTGTCATTATATGTTCATAGCACAAGTGGTTCATCTCTTGAAGTTACTCTTATATTTTATGTTTGCCTCCCTGCCTCAAGGCATCAATGATCTGGATTATCGGAGAATATGCGGAGAGAATTGACAATGCAGATGAACTTCTTGAAAGCTTCTTGGAGAATTTCCCCGAGGAGCCTGCACAAGTCCAGCTACAGTTGCTGACTGCAACTGTCAAACTTTTTCTTAAGAAGCCAACTGAGGGACCCCAGCAGATGATTCAGGTCATTTCTCTACAAGCATAGTTTTCAATTGCCAAATCTATTTGTGAAATAAGGGGACGTTTTATTTTGGTATGATCTGGATTGAGTATTTTTTCCACATTCCCTGTGACTAGGAGTAATTGCCTCCAGCATTATCTGTATTTGCAGACATTAAAGAACCTGTCTGAAATCAGAACAATCAGATAATTATTTGTGCATATTATTTTAAATACATTTTTATGTAAAGAAATCTTTAAAATCTTTATAATAGTTACTATTACCAAGGAACTCATAAAGAGTCCCATTAAGATGGACCTTCTTTTTGTAATCATTACTTCTCGTAGTAATCGATTTTTTTTTTTTTCTTTATAGGAATTTCAATATCAGATGGCTCTTTGATATCCCTGTATTGCATAGTAATTATTTCATTGTCAGTTTGAGCAAGAACCATGTTCAATTTTCTCTGATAAAAGAAAAACTTTGAACTGTCTAGTACATCGTGTTGGTCTTTAGATGGCTACCCAATAAACATTTACTTCATGTCCATTTACAGGCTGTTTTGAACAATGCTACTGTGGAGACCGACAATCCTGATTTGCGGGACCGTGCATATATCTATTGGCGACTCCTATCAACTGATCCAGAGGTTTTCTTTTTGCTAATCAGTTTTTTTTTCCACCTTCACTGTCGTCCTACAATTCAATGTAGACTGTATAGTTGATAATAAACTATTGCATTTTGAGAACCATAGGCTTAGTTTGATGTGAGAAAACCAAATATATGTTATGATTGATTTTTTTCTTTTTAAAGAATGTTTTATAATGAACACCAAGCCACAAACCCCATCTCACTCTTGATAGCTGTGTACATGAATCTCAGTTTTCCAGTACTTCCTATCTTGCAGGCAGCTAAGGATGTGGTTCTTGCTGAGAAGCCTGTAATTGGTGATGATTCAAATCTGCTCGATTCCTCGCTCCTAGATGAGCTGCTTGCCAATGTTGCCACTTTATCCTCTGTATATCATAAGCCTCCTGAAGCATTTGTGACCCGTGCGAAGACTACTCAGAAAACTGATGATGAAGATTTTCCTGAAGGAAGTGATGCAGGGTATTCAGAGCCTTCTGCCCAAGCTGCTGGTGGTGGCAGTGCATCGCCTCCAACTTCTTCAGATGCACCTTATTCAGTATCAAAGAAACCAGTCCCTGGCCCAGCCTCTTCTTCACCTCCACCTTCTGTTCCAGATTTACTTGGTGACCTGATTGGACTGGATAACAGTGCTATTGTCCCTGTTGATGAGCCTACTACTCCTGCTGGGTAAGTGTGAACTAATACTTTCTTGTCTGCTGCTTATGCAGTCATATCATTTATCATGGGTTCTCTGCAACCTTCTCGATCTAAGACTTCTTTTGCAATACCTAAAATACTTCTAGTGAGAATAAATATTGCTAGATTGTAAAGTTGTGCCCTTCAAAGGGTTCTGATGATAGGGATGAGCAATTTCATGGAATAATTGTGTGAGCATGACAAATGTATTACCTTATGAGCTTTCTGTTACTGGCACTTAATGTGTTTTCTGGCCTGCAGCCCTCCATTGCCTATTCTGCTACCGGCATCAGCTGGTCAAGGCTTACAAATCAGTGCACAGCTCACACGACAGGACGGTCAAATATTTTACCATTTATTGTTCGAGAACAATACACAGATTCCACTGGATGGGTTCATGATCCAGTTTAACAAGAATACCTTTGGTCTCGCAGCTGCAGGAGCCTTACAGGTAGATTTGTAAATTCAGTGTGGAATTGATTATCCGTGGATGAACTTAACTTCTCATCTCAATATCTATAGGTTCCACCAGTGCAACCTGGGTCAAGTGCAAGTACTCTCCTGCCTATGGTTGTGTTCCAAAATCTGTCGCAAGGTCCCCCAAGCTCACTTTTGCAGGTAGCTGTGAAGAACAATCAGCAGCCAGTGTGGTACTTCAATGATAAAATCTCAATGCACATTTTCTTCACCGATGATGGGAGGATGGAACGTGCAAACTTTCTTGAGGTAAAATTGATAGTTATTACAATTTCCTTCGATTCTAGCTGCTTCCTTTTTTCCGTTCGCATTGTTAGTCGTAAATGTCGTTTAAATTTCTTGCTTTGCTTAACCGTTGAGGGAGTCTCTTAACATAGAATGCACACGTAAGAGGGACAACCACTACTCTGAGTAAAAGACAGCACATGTTTTAGTAGAAATGAAGTTTAACATTTTTTTTAAGAGATTAACTTCAGACTTCTATTAAGTAGATTAAGAGCAAACAATGAGAGGGAGAAATTAAACGGATGATCTCATAGGAAAAACATGTAACTCTCAGACTAATAATGTAAGAACTTATTTAAACGTCCATTAGCAGTTTAGTCTTAATTGTGGCATTTATCATCTCTCCATTGTAGACTTGGAGGTCCCTCCCAGATTCAAATGAAGTTTCTAAAGACTTCCCTGCCCTTTTTATAACCAATGTCGAGGCTGTTCTGGAACGACTCGCTGCTACAAACATGTTCTTCATTGCCAAAAGGAAACACGCAAACCAGGACGTTTTCTACTTCTCTACTAAAATTCCCAGAGGAATCCCGTTCTTGGTCGAACTGACTACGGTGATCGGAAGCCCCGGACTGAAATGCGCTGTCAAAACTCCAAATATTGACATGGCACCACTCTTTTTTGAAGCTTTGGAGACCCTGCTCAAGGAATGATTCAAACTGTGCTTTTCTTGTTCTTTCCCAACCCCTGATTTTTTTTGCTAGTACTTGTAAATCCATGCTGGGTATCTCTCTACCTGGCCGTTCTGTATTCTCCTTTCCCCCCCTTGGACTTAGATTGAATTCTAGCTCTGCCTAGACGGTTGGTTGTCTCATTATTTCCCTCCAGATTCAGATTCATGAGCCTGTTTTTACAAGGAAGTGTAATTTTATGAACTTTTCCAAGAGGATACTGTTGCTGCAAATATTTGAAGTTAGTGAAATAGTTTAAACAAGATGTAGTTCTATCTGGACACATTTTTGCGTGCAATTCAAAATCATGTAGTTCAAGTTCCCTTTGCGTTGTATTCCTCATCAGCTTCTCCATATTTTAATGGACTTTGAACTAAAAATTTCATAAATGGTCTATATATATATATATATATATATATATATATATATATTATATTAAATTATAATTTTAGTTTATATTATTTTTAAAAGTTAAAAAGTGTTTAGCTAAATCTTCAATAACATGGTTGATCTATTAAACATAAAATAAATTAAATTTTGTATCTGTCCATTCTTAAACCAAATAAAAAAGGAAAGTTAGACGTAATTTAACCTATATATTAATATATAGCTTAAGCTTTAGTTGTTTCCTTTAAAAGTATAATTGTAATACACATGCTTCATTAAGATTCGAGGCATTACTTGAGGTGAAAGCCATTTAGTGTGGAATCTTAGAAATAGTCCATGTCTAGCTTAATAGCTTTAATAAAAATTTCTATTTTAAAATTAACTTATCTCAAGAATCTCATTTACGCGTTAAGATAAAAAATTGAGAATTACAAAAGAGTATGTATAATTCCCGACCCATCAACGTATTTTTTAATTAAAAAAAATAAACATCAAGAATTTAATATTAAGATAAGTAGAATCATTAATTTATAATAATAAGTTCAAACTAATTTAATATAACTCCAAAATATCACAAAATCATACTATTAATGGACTGAATTTCCCTAAATTACTTGGATTTGACCATTCTTAGTCAAATCAAACGTCCCAAAATTCATCCAACCAACAATATTATATTTTTTTTTATAATTTTTTTTTCATTTTTAGAATTAAAAAATATAATTAATAATCGAAACAAATAGGCCTAAACCAAACACGTTTTGTAGGAGATATTTAAATTGATTTCACGGTTCATTCCGTTCCATTATAATTCTCCTATCGTGTATGAGCTGGTTTTTCCGTCCTCCAGCGGTGGCCGTTAGAAGCTCAACTTCCAGGCGACTCGGCGGCGAAACCTAGAGAGAAAATTTCCAGTTTCCATTCATCCAAACAATATTTCGCCGGGAAGGAAGAGCGTTGTTCTTCAATTTATAATCGTTTTCCTTTTTTTTTTTTTTTTTTTTTTTTTTTTTTTTTTTTTTTTTTTTTTTTTTTTTTTTTTT